TAGTATCGTAATGCTGCTACTGCAGTTAAAATAACATCCATATAGCTGGGGGCAGAGTGAAATCAGTCTGGGGCGGCACAAAAATAGCTGGAGGCGGCCGCCACGCAAATTTCAACGCAGGAAAAACCCTGACATATATGTGTGTGTTTGTGTGTGTGTGTAAGAGCTCAAGATATATATTACCTCTACTTATGACCAATAAGCTGTGATACTCTAATTAAATATAAAATATCCACCCTGCTTGGTCTTTACTCTATTTATCAGAAGATTCTAGGATTTTTGCTTTATTAAGTAATTGTACACACTCCGTTTTGATTCAGAAAAAACTCAGGTTTATAAAAGTAAGAATTTATTTCATAAACAATAAAAACATGACAAGTTAAATAAGCATTTACTGTGAGTGGATGGAACTAAATGTGATGTATAAACCTATGGGTCAATGCGGTGTTGGTCAGAACTTCCTTTTCTAGGGGAGCCGAGTTCTGGGTGTAAAAGAATTTGGTTGGCATAAACTATGAAGTTCTTATCAAAGACACATCAGACGCAATCTCACTGTGTTCTACCTCACCTCGTCACGGATCCGGAGGTCAGTGAGGTCGGATGACCTCAGGGCACCCATGTCCAGTAGACTGACCACAAGTACCGACTTCCCCAGTCCCGAAATGTCACCAGGCACACAGGTTGGAACTAGCTTGCATCTCAGGAATAACTCTTAGGGAGTTGAACAATATCAGCTTGTTTCTGCAGGAACTGTTGCTGTATGAGCTTTGCAGGTGCAAAAAAATTGACAACAACGTGTCAAAATCGTTGATGGGTTGCTCCAGATGGCCGGTTTGAAACTTTCTCTAGAACTGCCGAATCACCCAGGGTGATCCAGTTTTAAGGTTTTGATGTTATGATTTGCACAGCCAATCAAAGGCTGACAGGCTTGAGAAATGTTACCAAGAATCTCAGAACACCCCTTCTTTGACCGGATGTTCTGACTGGGTGTGTGTATGTATGTATGCATACATGCATGCATGCATACATACACACACACACACACATGCATACATATACACATACATACTTACATACATACATACACACATGCATACGCTACACATATGTACACACATACATATATACACACATACTTACATTCATACATACATGCATAGATATATGCACACATACATACATACATACATACTTACACACATATATGCATACATTTATACACACATACTTACATTCATACATACATGCATACATATATGCACACATACATAAATACATACATATATACACACATGCATACACTACACATACACGACACGTGCACGAGCGCAAAATTTCACACGCACGTTTTTCATGTTTCGCTTGGTAGGAGGGAGACCCGCGATTATCGCTTTGTTGCGCATGCCTCATTGAAAATGAATGGAGGAGAGGCAATGTCGCCTCCCGTGTGACGAGCCCATAACTCTGAGAGGCGCTATACACGTGTGTGTCATTTATCATTATGTCTTTTAATACTTTTTGTCATGTAAAATTTACCATAGTATATGTGCGTACATTACTTTGTCTTGTAAAATACATCTAACTATGTTTTATGTTTACATTTCTATGTTGTGTAAAAATTTGCCATACCATAGTGTCTGTTTTAATACCTTTTGTCATGTAAATTTACCATTGTATTTGTGCGTACATTACTTTCTGTCTTGTAAAATACATCTGACTATGTTTTATGTTTACATTTCTCTGTCAGGTAAAAATTTGCCATACTATTATGTGTTTTAATAACTTTGGTCATGAAAAAAATATCATACTACGGCATTTGTTTATATTACGTTGTTTTAGTTTAGAATATTCATCTTGGTATAGGTTATGTTTATATTACTTTCTCACATATAATATGCCATATTATACTGTATGTCTTAATACTTTTAGTCACCCAAAATAAATAATACTTTCACATTTGTGTATATTACTTTGTTTTATAATATTCATCTTACTATAGTATATGTTTACAATACTTTCTATCACATAAAATATGCCATACTATTGTACATGTTAATATGTACGTACATTACTTTTTGTCTTGTAAAATACTTCTAACTATTTTATGTTTACATTTATTTGTCACATAAAATATGCCATACTATTGTATGTCTTAATATGTGCAAACATTACTTTCTGTCTTGTAAAATATAACTATGTTTTATGTTTACATTTATCTGTCAGGTAAAAATTGGCCATACTATATAATGTGTTGTAATAACTTTGGTCATTAAAAAAAATCATACTGTGGCATTAATTTATTTTACGTTTTTTTATAATATACATCTTGGTATAATATATGTTTACATTACTTTCTCACATATAATATGCCATTTTATACTGTATGTTTTAATACTTCTAGCCACCTAAAATAAATAATACTTTGGCATTTGTGTATATTGCTTTGTTTTATAATATTCATCTTACTATAGTATGTGTTTACAATACTTTCTACCACATA